CATTTACTCCTCTAGGGTGGAAGCTTCCAGGCCAGAAACTGTGGTCTCTTGTTCTCTACCATCTCTCCAGTGCCCAGTCCAGACACGCATATGAAGCCTTGGCTCAATTAATTTGCTCTGAAGGCATGAAGAAAGATATGGCTGAGCTTAGACAGCACCTGGCTCACATTACCCTGTTTGCTCTAATCCGTTTCTCTGGTTAGGCCAGGCACCTTCCTGGCCCAAACCCTGCCCTTCTCAGTCAAGGCTCAGGAACCTACCAAGTCCTTCCTATCCTTTCTTTTGCTGCCCGCCCACCCCTTGCGTGCTGATTGCCAACAGCCAGTTGCCAAATGCAAATGGACTGATTTGGTCAAAGTGAAGATGCTGCTGCTCCTGACTTGAGTTCCAGCTGAACACCTGGACCCCTGGACTCTCGCTGCCCAACCCACCCTCTAGGTCACAAAAAAGAGCCGAGTGCTTTGCAGTTACCTCATTTAAACTGCAAATTGCTAAAGTGTGCATTGCTTTCATTATTGTTATGCCCATTTTATAGGTGAGGAAGATGAGGAAGAGAGGGGTTATGTGCTTTGCCCAAGGTTACACAGTAAGTAGAGACTGTGATGGAATTTGAACATGGGCTAGACTGACTCCAAACTGATGCATGAATATACCCTCCACTAATCTGGAATTTGCCGCAGAGCACAGACATGGGGTCTCCCTGTCCTCGTCTCCCCGTGTCCCTGGCTCTGGAAGAGGCCCCAGAAAGACTCTGGCTATAGTCACCTATCTCCCCAATGGGACCTTCAGGATCCTCCTGTGTCTCCCCTGTTGTCTCTGAGGAGGATCAGAGGACTGGTGTTCACCATCTCTCCACGGACAACACTTCAGAGGCAACCACAGAGGTCCCTCAATCTTCTTCTTGATGTCACCTCACTTTCTCAACACTGGCAGTGTCACCTTGGACTCTGAAGGCACAAACAGTACTACCGTCACAGGGACAAATAGGCAAAGAAATTGCATTTCCTTCCAGGCCACTGTGAAGCACATGTGACGTGCCACTTCTGCACTGAATTGCTTTAGCCATGTTGGTGGGGCCAAGAACCCATTTCTGTAGGCAAATTGAATCAACTGGCTCAAGGGAAGGAGTTGACTGGGAGACCTGGTTCCATCCCAGGTTTGTAATCAACATGTTTGAAAACCCCTAGTGACTCTTTTACCCAGAAGATGATTTCTAAACTCCTTAAGATGGGGGACAAGATCCAGCCCCACTGGGGTTCAGTCATTTCTCATGAATCATTCTTCTGGTAAATGCCCCATAAAGAGCTTCTTCCTGTTCCTTTGAAAGCCATGAGCTGTCTCCTACTTTTGACCCTCATTGACATCCCGGATCTTTTTCTCCTTTGCCCAGAAATCCTTACTCATCCTTCAGACTCAATGTCACCTCCTCCAGGAAGTAGTCCATGTTTTCACCCCAGTTGAGGTCAAATCGCTAATGCTTCCATGTCACCATGGTGTTCTTTAGTGAAGTATAGGCTGCAGTTTATTATTCTGTTCAATTAACTAACAAAGTACCATGTGTTTGAATAAAACCAGTTCAAATATGTTCTGACAGACTCAAGGCAGTTCTGATAGGCTCAAGCCTGTTCTCTGCAGTTCAAAAAGGTTCAAACGGCTCAAACTGGTTCTGAGTGCATAAAACTGACTCAAACTGTTTTGACCAGATGAAACCAGTTTGAGCTAGTTCTGACCAAAACTGATTCTAACCAGAAATTATTAAACTGGCTAAAGCCAGCTTTGACTGCAAAAACCAACTGAAACCAAAACCAATTGGCACTGGTTCCAACTGAAATTAACACTGGTTCTGATTGGCTGACACTGGCTCTGACTAGATCAACCCAGCTAAAACCAGCTTAAACCAGTTCTGAACCATTCAAGCCAGCTGAAACAGGTTCCAACCAGGTCAGTCTACATGAAACCAGTTCAAACTGGTTCCAGCCAGCTGAAGCTGGTGCTGAATGGTTCAAAATGGCTGAAGTCATTGATACTGAAACTGACTGCAACTACCTCAGAATGGCTAAAACATGCTCTGACTGGCTCAAACCAACTGAAACCGACACCAATTGAAATTGAAACCAACTGACACTAGTTCATACTGAAACAGACATTGGTTCTGACTGGTTCATATTGAAACCTGTCCCCAGCTGAAACTGGCTCTGACCAGTTCAAACCAGTTCTGACTGGTTCAAACCAATTCTGAGGGGTTCAAACCACTTTTGACCAGCTGAAATTAGTTCCAACTGTTCCAAAATGGCTGAACCAGTTCCATCCAGCTCAAATTGGCTAAAACCGATTCTGACTTGCTCAAATCAACTAAAACTAAAAACAAATAAAACTGAAACCAACTGGAACTGGTTGAAACTGGTTCCAGCTAAAACCAGTTTGGACCTGTTGAAGCCATCTAAAAATGGTTCCAACTAGCTCAAAACAGCTAAAACCATTTCTGACTTATTCAAAGCTCCATTGCTCAAGATGGCTGAAACAGGTTCTGACTGGTTCAAACCAACTGGAAGTGACACCAATTGAGAGCAACTAAAATTGAAACCAGCGAAAACCAAATGAAATTGAAAACAACTGACACTAGTTCTCTCCGTTGAAACAAGCTCTGACTGACTTGACCCTGGTTAAACCGGTTCAAACCAGCTTAAACCAGTTCTGACAGGTTCAAACTGGCTGAAGTCAGTTCAAACCATTTCAAGCCAGCTGAGACTGGTTCTGATAGGTTTGAACCAGCCAGTTTCAACCAGTTTGAAATGGTTGACACTAGTTCCAACTAGCTCAATCCAGCCAAAACCAGTTATGACTTGTTCAAAGCATTTGAAGCCAAGAACAACTGAAACTGATGCTGACTGCCTCAAAATGGCAAAGACATGTTGTGACTGGTTCAAACCAACTGAAACTGACACCAAATGAAATCAACTGAAACCAGAACCAACTGACATTGGTTCGGACTGGTTCAAACAGGCTGAAACTGGCTCCAACTAGTTCAAGCTAACTGAAACCAGCTCCAAACTCAAAACAACTGAAACTGGTTCCAACTGGCACAAAATAACTGAAATTGGTTGTGGCTGGTTCAATCCAACTGACACCAGCAGAAACCAATAAAAAACAACTGAAACAGAAACCAAGTGACACCAATTCTTACTCCCTGATACTAGCTGCAACTGGTTCAAACCAGCTGAAACAGGTTCAGACCAGCTCAAACTTGGTGAAGCCCATTTCCACCCATTCAAATTGGCTAAAACTGCTTCTGGCGAGTTCAAACTGGCTGAAACCAGTTCCAACCACTTGAAACCAGCCCCAACTGCCTCGAACCAGATAAAACTGGTTCTGACTAGCCAAAACCAGTTCCAACTGGATAAACCTGTCTCAAACCAGTTCTTTCTTGATAAAACTGGTTCTGACTGGGAAAGGCTGGCTCTCACCAGTTGTTAATGATAAAAACAGTTCTGGCCAGATAACATTGACTCTAACTGGTATAAAACCAGCTTAAACTTATTCGGACCAGTTCTGACCAGTTCTGACTGTATCAGACTGGTCTGTTGGTTCTAACCAGTTCTAACCAAAACCAATTCTAGCCAGAAATGATTCAAATAGATTAAAACCAGTTCTGATTGCATAAACTCAGATCAAGCCAAACCCAAACTGGTTAATGGACAAACCCAATTCAAATCTTTTCTGGCTCATCTCACCAGCTCTGGCCAATTCAGATAGTCAAACCAGATATGATTGTATAAAACCAGTTTGAATATGTCTGACCAGCTCAAACTACTTGTAAGCATTTAAAAATGTTCAAGCCAGTTCTGACCCTAGAAAACTGTTTCAAAGCAGTTCATACCTATTAAAACTGGTTCTGACCAGACTCGCAGTTTGGTATCCAAACAGTGTAATAACCTGAGCCAACTGTCCCGACTTACTGTATGTTAGGGATAGAATGGAAAATTACTTAACCTCTCTGAACCTCAAATTTCTCATTTATAAAATGGAGAAAATGAAAGCCCCTTGAGATTGTTGTAAAAATGAATTAAAGAGCAGAATTCTTGTCACAGCATATGAATTCACAGTAGCTACTTGACAGATGTTAATTGCCTTAGCTGATGTCTGCGCAGTATTCTAGGGTACATATTATATGAAATTTGTGTAGAATATCAAAAAAAAAGAGGAGCAACTGGAGATAGGAAGGCTAGTGCAGAGGAGACAGGGCAGGATGAATAAAGCATTTGGGGGAGCTGAGATAAAGGGAGCAGACAGTCTGACAACTTCAGGCTTCTCACCTGAGTGACAGACAGGCCAGTGGTGACCCAACGTGCAGGGTGACAGCAGGTGATTTGTTTACAGGCCAGTGGTGACCCAACGTGCAGGGTGACAGCAGGTGACTTGTTTAGAGGGACTGAAAATGAAGGGGAAATGAGGGATTTAATTTGGGATGTACAGGATTTAAAGGCCTGGATTCTCATCCAGGAGAGCTCTAACAAGAGAGGGAGAACTCAGAAATTGCCAACCCAGCCCCAGATCTTGGAACCGCAAAGCGGAAGTATAAATAATAACCAGTTTTGCAGTACTATACCCTGACAACAAGCTGCAGCGCTTCTGTGTATGGCCTGGCAGAGAAAGCTAAAAGCATTTCTGGATGGCAGAGGCCCACTGGAGCCTTAAAGATGTCAGAACTTAAGGAAGGCATGTGTGAAGTTCTCCTGATTTGCAAGAAACAGCTCATTTAAGCAGAGGGACATCATGGACAAAACACTGGAAGAGGACAGAACAAAGGCTCAGAAGTTCAACCAAACAGGGATATCCTTACTTTCCCAGGGCTGCTTGTTTCTTTCTTTCACCATAAACATTGGAATTCTTCCACCTTTTGACTTGTGTGAATAATGCTGAAACACTCATTCATGTACAAGTATTTGTGTGAATATTTGTTTCCGGCTCCGCAGAGCCAGAGCCGGGCCCAGCCGGTCAGGATGACCACGGATATGCTGTTTGCCATCTTCGCCAATGTGCTGGGCGTGTCGCTCTTCCTGCTGATGGTTCTCTATCACTACGTGGCGGTCAACAGCCCCAAGAAGCAGGAATGAAAGTGGCACTTTCTCCACCCAGGGATCCAGGGCATAGTCTGTGGCAAGATGGAGGGTGTGAGGGGCCTTCACACTTCACTTGCTCCCTTCTACCATCACAACATACAAAGCAACTACACCTGGATTTTCCCAAACAACTTCTATTTCCAAGTCTTCCTTAACCCTGTGGAATAAGAAGCTGCCAGTGAGTAGAGCCCAGTATAGGGGCTGCTTTCTTTTCTACTCCCCACCCAATATAAAAATATAGATATACAAAAAAAAAAAAACTTTATCTTAGGTATATATCTAGGAGTAATATTGCTGAATCACACTGTTTTACTTTTTGAGGAACTATAAAACTATTGCAAAAGTGACTGCCTTATTTTATAATTCAACTAGCAATGTATCAGAGTTATAATTTCCACATATCCTTGTCAACACTTGTTATTGTCTGTCTTTTTATTCAGAGATCCCCATGGGGGTAAAGTATCTTATGGCTTTGATTTGCATTTCCCTGTGGCTGATTGTGCTGAGCATCTTTACATGTGTTATTGGCCATTTGTATCTTCTTTATAGATATGTCTGTTTAGATTGTTCATGTATTTTTTAATTGCATTACTTGTCTCTCTGTTGTTGAGTTGGAAGAATTCTTTATAAATTCTACAGGTATGTACCTTATCAAATATATGATTTGTATGCATTTTCTCCCATTATGTAAGTTGTCTTTTCACTTTCTCTGTGCTATCCTTTGAAGCACAGGTTTAATTTTAATGAAGTTCAACTTAACTGTTTTTCATTTTGTTATGTCACTTGTGGCTTTAGGTGTCAAATCTAAGAAACCATTGGTAAATCCAAGGTCACGAGGACTTTTCTCTGCATTTTCTTGTAGGAATTTTAGCATTTCAGCTCTTACATTTAGGGCTTTGATCTATTTTTAGTTAACATATATAGCATTGAGTAGTTTCCAGCTTGCTTGTGGATGTCTAGTGTTCAGCTCTATTTATGGACCATATTCTCCTCTTTCTTTGCATTTCTGATATTGTTGTTGTTGAATACTAAACATTTTTATAATAGTTTATTTTTACATCACTTTGTGCTTTTTTCTATCTCACTTGTAATCCCTGTAGACTTCCCGTCACCTATTCACCCATGTGCCATCGCCATAGTACAGTGCACTTCTGCCCGCCCCCCACTTTTGATCCCATTCCCCATCCACCCCCACAAAATGTCTATGGTACATAGTTGTTCATTATTATCCACCACCACCACCACCACCGCCGCCACCACCCTCAGCCTGTTATGCTCCTTCTATGACTGAAATTATCTGGTATTTTTCTTTTTCTTTCTGGCCTGTTTCACTAAGCATGACCTCCTCCAGCTCCATCCATGTTGCCGCAAAAGGCATGAGTTTATTTTTTGTTGCTGAGTAATATTCCATTGTGTATGTGTACCACATCTTTTTAATCCAGTCATCTACTTTTGGGCATTTGGGTTGTTTCCATGTCTTTCCTATTATAAATAAAGCAGCAATAAACATGGGGTGCAGGAATCTTTTTGAATCAGTGTTTTTGTGTCTTTTGGGTAAATACCTAGGAGAGGGATTGCTGGTCATATGGAAGCTCCATGTTTAGCAATTTGAGGAACCTCCAACAGTTTTCCATAGTGGTTGTACTAGTTTGCATTCCCACCAGCAGTGCAGGAGAGTTCCTTTTTCTCCACAACCCTACCAACATTTGTTGTTTCTAGCTAACAAACTAAATATTTTAATACAATACATTTATTACAATATGGAAGCTCTGGAAGTCAGATTCCCTCCTATTTCAAGATGTCCCATTGTCAGTGTCTGTTGTTACTGTTATTTAGTGACTTCTGTGAGCTAATTCTGTAATGTCTTTTTGCTATGTGCAGCCGCTGAAGTGTCTGTTCAGTTACCTTTGTGGTTCTCTGATGATGAACAGAGATTTCCTTACATGTTTGCAATACGTCTTTCTCTGAGGGGCTCTGTGTGTGTTGGGGTGCACCTTCAGGAGACTGTGGCGATTTACAACTTTGCCTGAATTTTCATTCTCTTTTGGATAGAGTCCTGAGATCAATCAGACAGGAAATTGGGAAATTCTCAAGTCACACGCGGCACTTGTCTGTGCCTTCTAGATCTTCAGGAATCTAGAACTTTTCAAATCCCCAATGGATCTCTGTCAGCAGATTGAAGCTTTTTGGACAGTCGCCTCCTGTTTGCCCCAGCAGCTTTCGCTCCACAGGTAACTGTGATGTTAAGCAATTATCTATGATAGTTTTTAACAAATGCTCTGCAGATAAATATCTCAACAAGCCCTGAGTCAGATCAAATAAGTCAAGCCCTGGGAGCGGGGCTCTGTCAGGGAGCTGTCCTACTGGCCAAATAGTGACAGTTCTCTGAGGATGGGGCTTTAGGTGTACTCCAAATACATTCTTCCCCACCCAGTGCCTACAAGACCACTGATCTCACAGCGACGGTGACGTAGTGCTGCTGATTCTCCAAGCCACCACGGAACGGGGAAAGGAGCGCGGGGAACAGAATACACTGAAGTGCTACCAAGCTCCTTGTTCTTGCGCCACTAAAGTTGTTTTTCTTGAGTGCACACTCTTTGGGTTGTTGTGAGTCTTTGATTGATTTCCAGAGTTCTGAAAATGTTGATTTTGACAAATTTTTGGTGTTCTTGTTGCTTGAGGGAGGAACAGACTTTGAAGGTCCTTCCTCTGCCATTCCTGAAGTGCTTTCCTCCCAGGAGGACTTTTAACTGGGGCCTAGCGTGGTCAGATCTTCATTTGGTTAGAATCTTCCTGGCAACAGCACTAAGAATAGATTGGAGAGATGCGGCAGGCAAAAAGAAGTCAGCAAAGAGAATCCTGCTGGGGATGGGGTGGGTGTTTGCCGGGGCCAGGGCAGTCAGAGCAGCCTGGCCACGGGCAGGTTGATCAGTCCAGGGGGCTCGTCTGAGATACCCCTTTAAGACTTCCCTGAGGTGAACTCGGGCTCACTCTGTCAGACAAGCAGGTCCCCGGGGACCCGACCCTGACTTGCTGCAAGGACAAGCAGAGCCTACTGGCTTATCTCGGGGCAGTCCTGTGAGAGCAAGGATTCAGGGCATCCAAACTAGGGGACGGGCAATTTGAAGGACGTTTCTGGGAGCACAGTGAGGGTCGGTGTGAGGGGCTGGGCGTCTGTATGCCCCTCGGCTTCTATCGCAGGCACAGGCGGTCGACCAGGGCTTTGCCACCTGGCATCCTCCAAGAGCACAGATTCTGCTGTGCTGCAGCCCCCACGGTCTCCAGGGCACCCCAGGCTCATCGAGCACCCGGAGCCCCCCCAGGCGCACGGTGCACCCGGAGCCCCGCCGAGGAGCCAGGGGAGAGTAGAATGGGTTGCTTTCTTCTTCACTGCTTTTCCTCCCAAGCAATTCTCTGAATAAGCTTTTGTATGTCCCAGATGTTTCTGTCTTTGTTCAGTTTTAATCCTCCCTGTTGCTGCTCCCTCACTCCAATACCTGGTTGTTACATTCCACTTCTCGTTGGGAGCTGGGGCTCAGTGGGTCTGCCAAGACTGATCTTATCTGTACGTGGGCAAACACAATGGTGCCTGCCCCTTGTCACCACGTTTCTGTATGAAAGTCCCAGAGAAGGACAAGAATTAAAGCCAGCTCTGCCAAGAACAGCAAACCCAAAGAGGTATACAAATAGATATGAAAACCGCCTTGGGCCCATTCAGAGGCACTGGTGAAGCCCTCAGCAGAGACACAATGGACTCTCAGGTCCTGTAGAATATGTGGCCTTGGCTCCTGACTCCAGCTTGGAAGAGGGGACCACAGCTCCCACCACAGCTGTGAAAACAGGTGCAGAGCAGCCTCCTACAGGCAGGCCCAGAAGCTGGGACCATATAGCTGTTAGAGACCGTGGCTTTAGGCCTTTGGTGGGGTCCTGGATGCCAATGAGGGAGGGAGATTTGAGACCTTAGAGTGAGCCAGAGAGTAAAGAAAGGTTAAGACACAGATCTTCCTTCAATAGCACCTTGCATCTATGGGACTATAACACACACATGAGGATCACAGCAAAAGCAGAGGAAAAGAATGGAAGGAAAAGAGATTTCATGTTATCGCTTCTTCCAGACAGACCCTTGCAGGCCAGCCACCCAAGACTCTGTCTCCCACCTGGCCCTATGAAGCTACCCTGGACCCTGCCACCACAGGTCTGGCCTCACCTCCCGGAACCAACAGATAGGAGTTGAGGGTAGAGAGGGTTCGGTTCTTCCCGTGTCCTGGTCCAAGTGATCCCATAAACCTCAGGTTGGAGCAAGTCTTGGAGGCAAAGCACAGTGAACTGTCTCCTGTCCCCCAACCTGGGGGAGGTGGAAACTTCACCTGAACCCACACTTTCCATCGTTTATGTCATCTCCAGGCCCAGGCCAGCAGTGAGACAGGATCTCAAACAGACTTAGAACTGACGCCCAGGCCAGAGGAGCATTAGTTCCTCAGCTCTCTCCACATCAGCTCCTTTGATCCTGACAGCAGCATCCAGGGTGGGTTTCTGTAGCTCCTTGGTGGGCAGGAGCCAACCAGGACGATCAGAAATAATCCAAGTTGCCCAAGATCACACAGGTAAGAAGTAGCAACTGCAAATTTGAAACTGGACTGTGATTCCAAAGCTGAAAACATGTCCAGGCACCTGTGATGCCCCAAGGCTACCCCTGGCCCGTCCGCTAAGGACTGTCCTTTCTCCCCCTCCAGGATGGACAAGCCCTGTGTCGACAGTGCCGGGAGGTGGCGGGGGGGGGGAGCAGGATGGAGGGTGCTGCAGTTCTGCGTGCATGCCTGTGGTCACCACAGATGGCTCATTGTGCAGCGGCGCCTGCCCTAGCAGCTTCGGGCGCCTTTGCCTTGCAGGATTGACATCAATCCTCATTCAAATCAAACTCCTCTGAAACATGCTCCAGTGGAGTGGAATTTTCTGCTAAATAAGGTGTTATTAACCCAGCTCCCCGCTCCTTG